AGTTTTTCCACCAGCGTTTGGCGGCAAGCTCAGTGGAGGAAGCGCTGGCGGAGGACAACGAGCTGCGTCGTCTGGATGAAGATCGCTCGTTCGTGATGCGGCTGCCGCCCACACCCCCAAGACAAGATTTTCGTTCGCCTGCCTTGCGAAGGGCCATAGGTGAATGGCATGCCCGCGACATGAACATCAAGGAGCAGTGGAGGTTTGACGCCATACGAGTGGAGATTCAGGGGTGGCTCCAGGGCCACAAGCCCATTCCCGAGTTCGACCGCGAGGAGACGCCCTCCGCTGAGAAGCATGGGTGACGGTGCGGTCGCGGAGCACGGGACCCAGCGGCCGGGTAGGTTTTCCATTGATGTGACAGGTAGACCCTGACTGGACCGTATATGGGGATCAAGGGAATGCCCAGGGGTTGACGGGAGGACACCTGGGAGATGTTTTTGCGTTGAAAGTGACATATTAAGGGGGAGTAGGATCAGTTGAGTCTGGTGAATTGGACGGTGGGGTGGAGCGTCGGGTCAGAAGGATAGAGAATCGAGATGTGAGGCTGTGGTGAGATCTGGATTTACCCTTGGACCGTTGAGTGAACCTTTTTGGATTTTGTCGTATGAGAGAACATGGGAGATGTATAAGAAGGCGGGGGTGCGCATTGTAGCCGCCCCCGGTCTGTAAGAATTTTCCTCCTTACGACTGGTGCACCACAACAGGCCGCCTCTCGAGTCGAGGGTGGGACCTGGAGGTCGGGCGGGCGGTTTCCTGGAAAGGGATAAGCCCAGCGTCCTGTGTGAATCGATATCCGGTGATATACGACGCGGTGTTACAGTTTCCGCATGTCGTATTCCACTGTGCGTGCCCCGGAGGGTCGTGCTGTCGGTCGGCACCGATCTTTACATCAGTCAGTCCCAGCTACAGCTGTATCTCAAAACATGACCAAGACTGGAACCGGGCTCGATTCCAGTCACACCAGCGCCAGCCCGCGCGAAACCGGCTGTCCTGGCAGAGGAGTCCTGTGGCTGTGGTGCACGGCGCCGGCCAACATCTAGCCCATGTGGATCCAAATGGCCGCAGCCCTTTCCTCCGCGCATCCAACCCTTGCGAGGCCGCAGCGGGACTCCCGGCCACCTTGAACAGGTCAGTTCCAAGGCGGTGAAGTAAAACTGCGTCCACGTCCGGCTGGCGTTGTGGGCGCAAGGCTGCCGTCCTGCATCGGCCCAGGGGCGTCGGCGCGCAGACAGCTCAGTTCAGCCATTTGTCGATCCTCCCCCAGCGCGCACCGAACTCCTTCTTGGTTGTTAAGGCACCTGGATGGCCTTGATTCCACCCGTGCACAAAGCGACAGGGCGGCGGTGGGCTCCTTTTCGGTCCTTCTGTTATTCTGCTGAATTTGGCGGATAGACAGCAGGACGCTCGTTGGGCAACCGCTTGCGAACGGATCTGCGCTGGCCGCACCGAGCGAATGCAGCCTTGGCGCAGCTCTATGTTGTGCAGCGGTTCTGTCGCACTCGAAAACTGCTGAACCGCAGTGGTCGCCGTGGCGCACGGTGGCGAAAGTTGTCGTGCCGGAGGGGTGGCCCAATTTGTCGACGTGTTTCCTTTCTGGAGAAGGGCAGTATTTGGCGCCTTCTGAAGAAGCTCGTGCGCGCTGCAAAGCCGACCCCTGTTGTGACAAACATGGATTTACCTTACTCTGCGATGTGCATGAGCTTCCCCAAACAGCGCTCTTCAGAAGCCCAAGATTTGAAGAGCAGGATTTCCTGTTGGGAAGGATGGTTGCTGTGCCACACAAAGTCGATTCCTGTGGCCCCAAACATGAATTTACCTTACTCTATGTGGCCCAGCAACCTTGCATCCCAACAGGAAATCCTGCTTTTCAAGTCTTGGGCTGCTCAGGCGAAGAAACATGCTGAGAATTCCCACATACCACAATTCAGAGCTAAAAAATATGGTTGTGCCCTGGACATTGTAAATGCAGGCAGTGCAGGGCCTGCAGTATCCTCATCACATGTGGTTGTGCAGTGGTGAGCTCTTCTGCAATTTGGGCTTTGTATGAGCAGCAGCCACAGTACTTTGCACTTGCACAGATTACCCCTTGATCGCCTTGTGTGTGCTCGAGTGTCATTTTTCAATGCCAACGAAGCGAATCGAGTAATGATGCTTTTGTCAGCGGCTGGCAACGGTGAAATGTGATGTTAATGTTGGAGGCCCCTCAATGTGGTTTCGCTGCTGTAGTAGATGAGAAGCAGTCCAAGGGGACCAACAGCAGTAGAAGCAGGCTGAGCATTTATAAAGATGGTTACAAGGACAGTGGAACAGTGGCTTCTGCATTGTGTGCCATGGATTCACCATTCTTTGCCACATTGTCCATATTGTTGTGAAATGGGTGTTGAGAAAAGCAGCACACAATGGCCTGGGACGTGCGTGAATGCTGTCTCTGGTACAGCAGTCGCTTTCAATTTCATGTTTGTGATTCATGTGTACAGATTGCAATTTGCTCTGAAGGATTCAGACGATGCTGCTTTCAATATATACCTGGCTGGTTGTTTGCCAGTGTCGACAAATGTACTCACATAGATGCACACAGTGCAGGGGCCACCATGCTTCCATCAACGACAGCCGCACGCTTCATAGGCAGGAGGGGTGCAGCAGCAGGGGCAAGCAAGGGCCTGCCCTTCGATCGCCTCCTCCCAGTGTTCAATCCCCCACAGGGGCATCCTAGGAGATGTCCTGAGCCGTGTGGCATTCCACTTGCTGCTGGTCGTATGGGAATCGCAGTGGGACGCAGGACATTGTGCATGGGGGCTGCAAGGTCTGAAGCAAGGGCTACAGATAACCTGTATGAAGTCCTTGCTGGGAAGGAAGTGTACCTTGCTTCAGACCAGAGGTGTGTGGAGGTTACGAGTCTGTGGGGCGACGAGGAGCGGTGTGTTCTTGTCTTTGGGCGGCACATGGGCTGATTCTTCTGCCAGGTGAGTGGCTGTTTTTGTGTCAGCAGTTCAGCTTGTGAAACTTGGAATTAGAGTTTGGACAGGTGGAGATTTCTTGGGTCCGTGCTTGAGTTCTGCAGGCTTGCCCAGGCCAGATCCACTGCACAAAGGGATGTACCTGCTGCTTTTGATTGCAGGGCATGTTACTACAGCAAGTCGTGGCAGATGATGGACTGCACTCATGTGTGCACATTTTGTAGCTCGATTGATAAATTGTCGCTAGTTGTGTCGTTCATGTTGTTGATTGCCTGAGTTGTATGTCAGGTAATGTCCGTGCACTGGGTCCTGCAGTGACAACTCCAATTCCAACAACTGTTGATTCTGCATTGGTCTTAGCTGGGCTTGGCAGGTTGTTGATGGTTTGGACATGCAGACCACTGGCTCTCATTGGAGTGTCTGGCAAAGTGTTGTCGTGACCGATGTGCTGTTCAATCATTTGGTAGGAACCCTACACGTTTACTTCACAGTAATTGCCACAATGCAAGAAGATTCCTGATGCTTGTACACCTTTCAGTTGATCATGTCGGTGGGGATCTGGAAGCCGAGCATCTGCAGACGCCAGTCCCCTTAGTCTGGCCTCCCGCATGCTGCTGGCTGGCCACACTGCCTCCAGGTTGGGAATGCAGCAACTGCAAGTCCAATCCAAGCAGAATATCTTGTGACTTGTACAAGGGCAAAGAAGTGCCATGGTTTGATAATGCTTGTATCTGTCTTGGTGTATCCAGTCAGGTTTGCACACGCTCTGTTTCTTGTCACCTTGTTGGAAACTTGTAATGGTCTGGCCTCTATGGTGAAAGGAAGTGCGTGGCCTGATGCCAACCCTGCTATGCTGCATGTATCAGTGACTAAAGACTGATAATATCCGTTTTGTGCCCGCATGTACAGGAGCTGGCCAGGCAGCTCCGGCGAGACGTGATACCCACTCTCAAGCCCACGGGCGTCAAGCTCTTCCTGGTGTCCATCGGCACTCCAAAGAGTGGCTCCGAATTCTGTGAACTCACCGGCTTCCCGACGGACCAGTTGCTGTGCGACCCTGGCAACGTGCTGTACAAAGCCATTGGGTTCTACAAAGGACTGGGCGCAACTTTTTTCAACAATGCCACGCCCAAGTCCATAATGGCGCGCTGGCGCAAGGACAGGGCCGCAGACTTGAAGGAGGCCGTGTCCAACTGGAAGGTCTTTGTGCCCCCCAAAAGCGACTATGCATTGCAGCAGGGAGGCACGCTGATCTTCAAGGGGCGCCACTGCATCTGGGCGGACTACGAGGAAGGGACGGGGGCCCATATGGACTTTGATACCCTTGTGCAGGTGGCCACTGGGGCTGCTTAAAGCACCGGTGATGAAGCACCAGCTAAATGCTGTGCTTTTCGTGTGTGTTGTTTGTGCTGCTGAATATCAGATGCACGTTTGCGTGGTGGGTTGTTGTGAGTACCGCTTGAAGCACTGCACCTTATCCAGTGCAAAACTGGGACCTGCGCTTCGAGGGTTTGAGCACTGTGCGCTGGAGGGGAAGCTGGTAGTGTTGAGGGCGTGTAGGCCGCTTTGATGAGCATTCCATTGCTGCATTGTGATGTGGGCTGGTTGTTCCAATTATGATGTGCTGCACCGAAAGTGCTGTCGGGGTGGCGCTGATGCTTTGGAACGGTCAGTCAACTCGATGCGCTGCATTTTGGGAGCCACATGTTCTGTCATGACTATCACTGTGTTCGAGGCAACAGTGGCTGCTGCCCCCATTGTAGACAGAGCCTGAGTTGTAAATCGAAAATACGGATAAGAATGAGATTCGAACATGCATGTTAGTTTGTTCGTTTCCACATTTTGCCAGTGAATTCCACCGAAAAAATGAGCGAAAAGAGATTCCAAGCATGCCTCTTCTGATTGATCGTTCCTGGTAGGCCCCAGTCCGTGTCAACTCAAAATGAGGATGGAGACTCAAACCCTGCCTGCCAACCTTTTCGTTTCTTGAAGGCCCAGTCAGTCTTTAACTCGAAAAGCTAATGGAGACTCAAACCATGCCTGTCAATTCGTTTTTCCATTTTATTCGCCAGCCCTTGGTGTCGATATCCCGCGCAGAGGTGGGCAGGATGCCGAGGGCAGCCATCGAATTCCCCTGGAGGCCGTCCCTCCCTCTCCTTTATTCATCGCTGTAGCCGGGGTCACGGCGCCAAGGGAGTGTGACCGCCGGGCTGATAGATGGCCTCCCCCTTTTCGCGCAGTCGGCGCGTTCAGGTCTTCAAGAACGGCTCCCTCGCGGTTTCGAGGGCCGCCCGCCGGAGCTGCATTCCAATCGAATCGTCACAATCCCGCCCAAGCAACCCCGAGACAGAGGGCCTGCCAGCACCTGCCAATTCAGTGGGCCGGGCCAGCCGGCCCATCGCGATCGGCGCGGTCAACGAGGCGAAAAGCAGCCCGCCCAGGTGACTTTGCGATTTCGCGGGAGGGCGCGGCACGCGCCGGTCGCCGCACCGCGTCGCACACGGCACCCCTGATCGGCCCAAACCCACAGCACACCGCGCCGCGCGCACCGCGTGAACCGACACGGCATCGGCACACGGACGCCCGATGCTCGCGTCGGACGAGATCTCGGTCTGGGAGAAGCCGCGCGGCCCGCTCAGTAACCGCACGTCCACCGACGATCGGTCGATCTCATGGACTCTAAGGAGCGCGACCACCTCCCCATCCCTTCATCTTGCTCCTCACCCCCCCACCCCCACTCACCCCAACCCCGTGTCGTTAATCAGCTCACCGCCGGATGCTCAAACTTGACCATGTACTCCGACCGCCACGGCTCCCACCGGCCGCCCCTGCCTCCCACCTCCCCGCCCTCCGACCCCTCCGATTTGCCCGTGTTTCCGATCCACACCCCCGATCGCCGATCGAAGATCGCCGTGGCAGATCCGTACGTCCCCTCCATCGCCTTCCCCGCCCCACGCCCGCCGGCGGCCCGCGCGGACAGATTGGCGGCCGACGGCCACGGAGCCAGCCCCGCGGGAGTCGCCCTGCCGGCGCAAAAGTCGTCGGGCGTCGTTGACCGATCGCCGAAGAAGACGCCGTGGGTGGTGCGCAGCCAGGTCTGGTCGGCGTAGTACCTGGCGGTACAGGTGCGTGGCAGGGACGGGCCCTCGGGCCCGGGGCACAAGGGCGTGGAGCCCGAGCGCAGGGTGCGGGGAGCCATGGAGGGCCAGGGGGGCGTTGGGGGGTGGGGAACGTGAGACGGCGGGGGTTGTGCCACGGCTAAATGCGGGTGGGGGGCGTGGTGGGTGGGGGGGTAGGGATCACGTAAGTGTCGTCGTCTGACGGTTGCGTGCGTTGGTATGACGCAGGCTTGGTTTTTACGCCGTAAAAACTGATCGTATTTACGTTTTTACGCGTAAAAATAGTTTTTACGTTTTTACGCGTAAAAGTGCGTAAAAATACGTAAATACAAAGTAAAAACTGCCTGGTGTACATAAGGACAGTACATATAGATTTACAGAGTCCGGAGAGTGGCAGCCAGACGCCTTGGAAGAGGCAGAAAACGAGTTTTTGCTAAACGCCATTATCGCCCTTGCCACAGGCGAGGTGGACATTGTGCCCCGGGTGATGGCGATGGCAGAGGAATGATCATTGTATGCAACTTTCATCGTGTAAACTACGTGTGCTAGGGAGCCGTAAAAACGTAAAAATAGCCGTAAAAATAGGCCCTTTTGCAAATTTACGTTTTTACGTGTAAAAACGTAAAAGTAAAAACGCAAACGTAAACGTAAAAACCAAGCCTGGTATGACGCGTGTCCGGCTGAGCGCCCGGCCGAAACCGCCCGAGCGACAGATCTCAGAAGCAGCCCTCACTCGTTCAACGCATTCCCCTAAATCCCAAAACCAACTCACTCAAATCCGCATTCCAACTCAAGCTGGTGACCCGAGGGCCCTCACTCGTTCAACGCACTTCCCTAAAACCCCAAAACAACGCACTCATATCCGTATTCCAATTCAAGCCGGTTGCCCAAGGGCCCCCCCTGTTCACTGCATTCCCCCCAACCCAAAAAGGTACTCACTCATATCCGATGGTGTGATTGTGTTCCCCTTTCAATTGCAAGGTAGCGTTGCTACTCACAGCCACAGCTTCAATCAAAACTGCGCGTCCTGGGCAGTCATGGCGTTTGCACCACCAGTAACTGATGTACTCCATCACCCAGTTCCTTGTGTAGAGATGCCCGCGAGCGTGGAGCCTCAACGCCCTTTGTCTGCGAATCAGTTCCCATTGTGGACTAGGGTCGCGTTGGCCCGCCTCCCGCATCGATGCACCTTCTTGAGGATTTGCTGTCTCCATCGGTCCCAATCGGCGCTGCCATTCGCCTGCCTCTCCCGTCGATCCACCTTCGCGGCTTGGAGAACGTCCGTGCTTCATATCTGCCAATCGACTCTCCTGTTCGCCAGCCTCTCCTGTCGATCTAGTTTCGCGCCTCGGAGGATCTGATGGCTCCACCGCTGCCAATCGGCGCTGACGTTCGGCTACCTCTCCCGTCGATCCACCTCCACGACCTGTAGAATCTCCGCTTTCCATAGCTGCCAATCGACGCCCCGGGGCGTCCCGGCCGTGGGCCCACGCTGCGCCAAACCGCACCACCCCCGCCAGGAACGTGTCTGGACTGGCCATCACCCTCATGTGCTGTCCCATCCCCTGTGCGGGTGCCAGAAACGCGCCCAGGAACCAATTCGCAATGCAGCCTGCCACAAACAAAATGAAATGTAATTGAAAGTTAAATGCAGTTGATGGGCGCTGCTTAGACGAGTTGACTCAACTCGTCTGAAGACAACCCGTCTAACGCAAAGACGGAGTCAACGTTGCCATTGACTTCACCATAGGGGAGCTGAGCACACGTGAAGGCTTTGAAAACGAGTGGTGTTCGCAACAGAGAAGTCTGTCCCATTGGTACACAACCAACCCGTGGCCGCGTTCAGGGAGGATCACTCATGAGACGAGCTGTCCTTGGACCAAATGTCCTTAGACGACTTGTCCGTTAGACAAGTTGTCTTTAGGCGAATTGGCCGGACACCATAGCGGCCACGTTGAGACCGGCAGAAAACCACGCGGGAGCCACCAAAATCGACCAGCGGATGAAAGCTGAAATGCCCCAAATGATTTCATCGACTGCACCAACAACTGCGCTCATGCCTGCGTAAGCGGTGTTGCACCAGATCCCCTGGGGCCAACAGGCCAATCGGCGAGCAACCGATCTCCGCAACCGCAGCCGGGCGGACGCACTGTTGGCCGCACGGCGATCCGCGCGGACGGCCCGCTCCTCGCCGAGATGGCGCCTCCCCTGCACACGGCAGCACCCGCCGCGAGCACCACGGTCGCCAGCACTAGCCGGGCATTTTGCCAGGCTCGCGGAAGGTTGATCAAGCTGAGGTGCGGGTGCTGTGATGGCGCGGCCAAGGGGGATCGCGCTCGGGCGGGCGTCGGAGTGCCTTTAGCGCTGCTGGGCGGCTGAATCTACCAGTTTTGTTTTCTTTGATGCGGCGGGATGAGCAGGTGGAATGGAGAAACTCGGCAGGGGACGGCGTTGAAGGTGCGGCCGCGCTCACGGTGGATCGTTGCGTCAGGCGGAGGGATTGGGCGCTTGCACGGGTGGGCTGCGGTACCTTCCCGAGCGGCGCTGGGTACCTTGCACTCGGTTGGCGTGGAAGACACCGACGGTTTTGTTTGCGAATGTGTTGTGCGCATTTGCCATTTGTTTATGCACGTCTCCTGCCTTAGAAAGTCTGGGCCATCCTGCAGGCTTCCCGCCTTTCTGCTGAGTCAACGCAGTGGTTAGTGGGGCAGATTCGCTGACTGACAGTTTGCGCATCTTTTCTATAGTCTGTGGGAGCTTCTGTACTTTGCCTGTACTTCACGGCATATGTAGTTGAACTGTTTGCAACTTGAGCAGATTCCCAGTCTTGAGCGATCTGAGCGAACCACTAACTCTGGTGCAGCGGTGGTCTGCAAGTGTTTCGAACTCTGATAATGAAGGAGAGCGCCCACAACCCTGTTGCAAAACGTTACTATGCATGGCTGAAGATGAAATCGGAAAATAGTTGCATTCAGGCAGTACCAAACACCAGAAATTGGGCGTGAAACTTAGTGGCGGCCAAAAGAGCGATGAGGGGTTTCCTCGGCGGCCGGAGAAGGGCTGATCATTGGCAATCAAATCTCTCCTCTCTGCCATCCCCCGAGTTTTTAATCCTGATCGTTAACCTCTGCAGAGCGCATTGTGGGACAAGCGACATGGCCGTGTTTTTGAGCCCATCCGTTTCTTCTGCATCAGCCTGGCCGGTTGCATGGGGCCTCAGTCTGGGCGATCCATCCACGGCAGCTGCGCTGCCGTCGATTCGCTTGTACAGCAAGCCTGACAATTAAAGAGAGGCAAACTGGAGTCGAGTTCAAGCTGGTGCAGAAATTCTGGTGAGACTCCAATCAAGGCTGTGCCTTCAGCCCAGAAGAAAGACATGATTGGGGACTGGGGAAAAGAACACATGGGGAACACATGTTTGGGATGTGAGCTGTGCTTGGCTTCGACAGCAGGTGACTGGACAGTGGATTCCACTGAATTTGAAAATGAATTAATGCTTCCTTTAAATATCAGAATATACTGAAAACGAAACCCTTGCACCAAGCAATAGGTGATGGCCACAGCAAGATGCAATGAACATTTGCAAAATAGAAACGTGACAAACATATTTCCGCACGCCACTTGGTTGCCCAGTGTGAGCAGGGAAGTGAAAAACCAGAGGAAATGCTTGGCACACCTGAGCAAAGGAGTGGTTCGAAATGAAAGAGAAGAGCCCTCACCCAAGCACTCTGGAATACAATATGATAGTAGTTTGTGACATTTTGAAGTTAGGTCATTGAGTATTGGTCCAAAGGCGGTTGGTGGAATGTCATGTCATACTTGCGTATACATGGCTTCGTACTTGTATGTGCGCATGCAGTCGCTGTGACGAAATGCCTGTTTGCACTTTGCGTGCTAGCAAGGAACATTTGGTCCACTTGTGACAATAATGTCGTGGAATTCAGAGAAGAATCTTGCCAGCACCATTGCCCCACAGTGCTTGATTGCAGTCATGCCTTCTCGTTTGCCCCAAGAAGCAATGAAAGAGAAACCAAAATGCACCTGTCATTAGTAGTGCTGCATGCATGCAGGGATGGTGGCATTTGCAGGAACCTTGGTGCTGCTGCCCGAACGAAGAAAGTTGCGCTTTTTACTGTGAAGGTGGGGGCTTGAAGATTGTGGAAGCTTTCTTATGCGAACCAATAGCCAGGCTGTGTCACAGTGCTCGTCCCACTTGCTACCCTTGGCACTTTGGTTTGCCAACACAATCAAGACACACAGCCTTTGAGAGAGATATTAAGGAAGACCAAGCTTGCCACAAGAAAGTTTTGCTGGACACCAGGGCCTCATGGCATTTGACCTGTTGTAAGATAGGCGCCCAAAAATGTTGCTTTGATTGCTCATGCCAAGTGAAGGCGAATGCACTGCCCACTGCACTGAAGTGGCGCCTGAAGTGGCATACACTCAAGAGCCAACTTCAGCCCATTGGACTGTTTGGTGATGTGAAGCAAACTTGGACGTTGTCGGAACAAGCAGCTGTGGAAGGAAACAGTGCCTGCCATTTGCCCCCAAGTAAAGGAGAGTGCATTTGTCTCAAGATGGCACGGTAAACCTGGACAAGATTCAGGATAATGCACGTTCCAGCATACAGGCTTGTCATTATTGAGATTCTGCTGCAGAAATCGTTGTATGGGCTCGACCATCGCATGTCTGTATGTTGTACGACGTGAAATCAGTCAATGCCAAGTGCGGGAGCAAGTTGGCTAAGTGGTGTTACACTGCAATTCAAGTGGAAACCTTGTTGCATGCTGTTAACTAACAGGTAGCAGCATCCAGACAAGCTACACTTTGCTGCCACGATCGGAAACCGCTTTGGTTGACAGCTACACAAAAAAATCTGCAATGGAAAGGAACCGCTGATCATTTCTTTCTGGTGTTGATCAGGTGTACGCCGTCGCCCTGTACGTTGAGGCTGAAAGAGCAGCAAAGGAGCTGAGGATCAGGAGCAAGGGTGGCTTTGGAGAGGGGGACGAGGACTACTGTGCTGCGCTCATTGATGGTGTGTTCCAGAAGGCACTGCAGGTGGGGTTGGAGCTGGAGAGCTGTGGACTCACAGTCAAGGCTTTCAGTCAATCAAAGGACATAATGCAGCTGGAACCACCATTGTTCTTGAACTCCACTGAAGAAGCTGCAGTCCAGAATTGGCGTGACAGTCCCAGAAGTGCAATAGAAAGCCAGAAAGAATTCATTATGGTGGTTGAGTATATCCAAGTTAAAGAGCTGAAAAAGTGGGACCAATATAGCCACTATCACTGTGAAATTAATCTCACCATCATATAGCTTGGTAACCAAGTAAAGTCAAACGCATTTGCAAAATAAGAAGACAGGAAGCAACTGATGTATGTGGCCACACACGACACAGATTCTGTGTGTGATGCGACGTTCAAATTGCCATGCGCTGGTGGCGTTTAGCAGCTTTTTGTTATGACCATCACACCTGCATCATGGTCTTGATTGTGTACCACCGGTTGCATGGTTTCTGGGCCTGTTGCTGCACATTGCCTTTGGACCATTGACAGAAGATCGCCCTCCACACCTCCTTGGCTGATGTGGTTCCAGATGGTGGAACAGGATGTGGGAGGCTTCAGGCCCACAGAGGTGCAATTTGCCCTATTCTGGATTCATTTTCTGGTATGCATTTTTGGCTGTCAATCTGTATTGTGTTGTGCAGCTCACGATGGTGAGGGATGTGAGCAGTGACCAATTCGTTGAAGCCATCGATGACGCTTTGAGGCCAAGCATGCAGTTCAGAGGTGCGACAAGACCAATTTGGGGAGGTGAACTCCGGGGTTTGCAAGTCTCCGAGCTTTCTCCATTTTGCAAAGCAGCACAGCTTTCTGTGCTTTCTGTGCTCTGTCCTTTCTTCTCCCACAGTTCCTATGCGAACATACCCCCACTGCTGCCCTGCCCCAGCTCCTGCCATAAGTAAATTGTGTAGTCACTTTTGCTGTTGGAATAAGTCAGCGCACAGGGATTCTTTGCCCCCCACAGCACAAAATTAATCTTGGCATTTGCATTTCCGGCCTGTCCTGTGTGCTCGCAACCACTTGACATTGGTATCTAGAAGTTCTTTGCCAACCTCTGGCCCATTTTATGCATTTTCTGTGGGGATCACTGCATCAATCTGTCCAGTGAGGCGACACTGCATGCGGTGCTCTCTGCCACCCTGCCTGGAATGTAGCAATCAGGATGGGTGTTCATGGCACTGCTCTTTCTATGTGGGCTATGGCAACACATCACTACCACACAGCAGGAAGCTTTGCAACCTTACCCTCACAGTGTTGATGAATCAGTTATGTTGTGCTGTTTACAATGCCCCCACAGACATCACAGCACCCTGGCAAATTTCACAATCATGACGTTGCTATCAGCCGCCTTGGATATTTAGGCATTTTGTGCCTTCTGACAAACGAAATTGAAACAAATACAAACCCAAAGCAGAATTCAGCAGTGGCCTCCTTTTTAACAGCATGTACACTTTGAAGATGCTTTGGTGACAGAACGACAGCAGAACACACAATGGTATCCCCCCACTGTGAGGGAGAATTTGGTGGGATTCTTGTCCATGCAATGAAAGGAGGATTCAGAAGACTGTGAGTGAAGATGGGAAGCCCACTTGACAGCGTAGCACATACAGCAACAGAATATGCTTCCAGAGGGGAACACAAAGAGCAGATGTGTGGAAAATGTTTGAGAATGACTGTAGCAGCATGTGGTAGCCTCGACCTGTCCACTGGGCACAGCGCCAATATGGGAAAAGAGCAGTAAGAAATGTGCATCAATACCAGACATCTGCATTGCTGATCACGAGTAGGCACTTATTGTACAATTTGTACCTTGTGTGTTGGAAAACACTTTTTGATGCATATGGCAGTTGTGCACACCCTCGTTCCCTTGCTTGGGATATACGGACGTTGCCTTGGCTCTATTTAGAGTACGGATAGTGCAGATTGGCTTCATGTCAACACCCTGGCATTCATAGCATCAATAGACACGTTGCTTCTGCCATCAGGCGAGGTGGGGCCCCTGGAGGACTTCCAAGCGTACATGCTCAGTCAGCGGCTGGACAAGGGCGTCAACGTGCTGCTGCTCTGGAGCACTGACAGCTACCTCGACGTGGCGGTGTTGCCACCCAGCACTTCTGCATTCGAAAAGGTACGCAAGCCGCAAGCTCGCTCTTTGGGAATGGTTTGATGCATTTGCAGCTGCCACACCCAATTAACAGGATGCTACTTAGCACTGTCAACTGCGCTGGAAAGGTTTGCATAAGAATACAATGGAACAAGCCTGGCCTGGGCTTACAGGGCACAGATGGAGCCTTGGAACTGAGAGGTTGGGATGCAGCATTTATGGTTTATTGGCGGAGATATGTGATACAGTACCTCAACATTTCGAGGCCATTGCATTCCAGCAGTGCAGGCTGTCAGTGCAGGTGGCTGGGTGTTGCCATGGCAGGTATAGGCCAGAGCTACCAGGAGGTCTAAAGGGTCCTACCTGAACAATGACAGGGCCCTTCATTGCAACTTGCTCAGAGCCCTCGAAATCTGAATCTTCCTTTTCTCGACTTCACTTTTGAGAGAATGAAGTACCTGTTTGTCTCCACATTGACATGTGGTGAATGGGAGCCAAAAGACTTTGGAAACGAAGTATATCTGGATGTGAACAGCACTGAGCAGCAGTCAACGGTTGCAAGTGCTGCAGTGTGTGATATACTGATAAGTGCAATGAAAGTGCGGTTATCCCCACGCTAGGTTGTTGAATTACGAACTCGGTTCATCTTGAGGCATCTTCAACAAACATCCACCTGCAAGGTGCAAGGGGTTTGACATTTGTACCCCCATGGAATTTGCACCTCCATACTGGGAAGCTCCCCAATCAACAACTGCACTTCCGACATGCCCACAACGGCAACGACAGTCCAAAAGCAGATGCTGTTGCACCCCTGCTGTGGAAAATCACCTGCTTTTGCTCTGCCCTTGCTTCAGGTTGCGACCAATGCAGCAGGCCTGCAATGGGATAGCTTTGTGCAAGCCAAAATGTGCCTCCCCAGCATATGGCTTGATCAGCACTATACCCTTGCCCGAATTTCTGTTTGCAGGCCTGCCGGTCTGCTCCATTTGGTCTTCTTGTGAGTATTTTGATTTTATTTTAATTTCTACCTGTACATTCCTTGTGTTTCCAGGTCACACCCGGCAAGCGCATCGAGTCAACTTCCCTGGCTCGAGGCCTGTTTGAGATTTATTTGGGGGACTCCTCAATAGTGCCCACGGCAAAAAAGGAGTGGGCAGAGGGTGCAAGGAGGCTTGTGGCCAGCATAGAGGAGTAGTGCAGTGCATGCCTTTGGCACACACGCATCCGGGTAATGTTCTTAGCAGTTGCAGCCGGCACAAGCCATTTTGAGATTCTTGCCTCAGAAAAGACAAGAAACAGCCTGGGGTTCTGCAGAAAGATAAATGCAGCAGAGCATGCTGTTCTGCTGGCCACCGCTGTTACGACAGATGAAGTTGTAGCCCAGTTTTGGTGAGAGGTTGTTCGTCGGGCTGTGATGCATGGGGTGGAATATGGCCTAGTCTAACCATTTTTCAACCAATTTCCAGTGCATGGCAATGTAACATAGGTGCTGGTTTGGGGATGTGTGACGTTATGGATGTGCGGTGCAGATGCTCTCCTGTATCAGAAGTTGTGTTTCATGATTCGCACATGAGACTGGTGTGAAGATCGAACGCTGATTGTTTCGTGGCAACCTCCAAAGGGCACGTACAACTGGGCATGAGCAGTTATCACGTGCTGCGGTTAGACACCAAGTGGGCTGTCGCCGGTGCAGGTCGTCTTGCCTGATGTGAAATCCTTTGAGTAGCAAAGGGACATTGCGCATTTGATCTGGCTGTTTGGCAACATCAACGCTCATCCGCAGTGCGGGTCAGATAGCAACAGGCACTCTCTTTGCTTGCAGGTGTTGGCGCGAGCCCCATATGGCTCCCACACAAGAGGCGGCACAAATGCTGCATGTGTAGGAAAGATGGCCATGTCACCTGCAACTGTAACAATGGGTCCCATGCAAATATGGAATCGCAAACACAGAACAGTAAGGAAACACCATCCCCTATCTCTCATCAGCACCCACTTCTTTGCTCCTGGCCCAGCCACACCTGCAAGCCACCCCCTCACTTAGTCGATCCACTGGCCTTGTCCTCTCCTTTCGAGTCAGCAGGTTTCTCAGACTTTGCATCGTCCACCTTCTCTTTGGGTTTCTCCACCTGCTTCTTCCCAAGGCGAACTTCCTTGTTGTCAATCAGGTTGTGGAGGGCAATGACGCATCGGATGAGCGATGCCACATACACCCCTAGCATCATGTCATTCGACTTGACTGCAAGAAAGTCGCCGCACACCAAGCCGTCAGACAGTCTATTGCATGTCCCCATCGCCATGAATGCACCAAGGCAGTGATTTTCAAACAAACACAACTAATGGACCAGTCCAGAACTGCTTGCAGCATGTGGACAAAGTGCACTATGGACATTCGGAAGCCAAAACGAACTGCAACGGACGCTTGCCCCACAGCACTGCAACATGCTGCTGAGCCCAAGATCCTGTTGGCCGCAACTGCCAGAACACAACAGAGTACTGCCATTGCCACCTCAAAAGCGAATACTGGCGTGGCTCCATCCACAAGATCTGGTTGAGCTGTTTCTCATTTTCCTTTCATCCAGAAACCCAGACTGACACAGGCAGTGTGTTGTAGGCAAATTCAAGGGCACCAGAATGTTACTTCTTGATAGCAGCAATTGAGGAGCAATGCATATGTACATGCTACGATGCAGGAACGTGCAACAACACACTCCCCCCTCCCTGTCCAGCAATCGTCACATGAGATCCATGCCCACCTGCGAGGGAGTTGGACAGCATATCCACGTTCATGTTTGGCAGCAAGTTGAAGATATCCTGGAGGTGTGGCAGCAAGTCAGCCAGGAGTCAACATCATAGTCACATCACATCACGTCCGTCCTATCGCATGCACATCTCTTCAAACAGGAAGCGGGTGGTGTCATACCACTGCGAATGCAAATTCCAAACAATTCCAAGTGGTATTGTCCTATAGTTATTTTGGATCAATCATAGGCCAGGACTGAGTTGAAGCACAAAGGGTGTGACTGTGAAACCGGGTATCTTCAAACCTAGAGTGTGAACTCTGCATCTGCGAAAATATGCACAGCTGCAAGATCCCTCTCTACAGGTGCCCAATGGTCGAAACCCAGCATGGCAGACACAGGCCAGTTCATGGCACTGAACACTATATTGCCATTCCTGCATCGATGCCAGCCATTCTGTTCAACAATGCCAAGGTGAGGGTTTGGGTAAGCAAATTGAGACAGCACAGTTCATGCACATGTTTGTTGGCGCCCCCTTCATACCAAATAAAGCACATCACCTGCATTGTGCCAGCTAGATGTATAGGTTGCAGTTGTTTCAACGTAGTGCAAAGACACAGTGTGTAGAAATATGTGTAACATGGGAGACCGAACAAGCATCGGGTGGATACTGCTGGGCATGTCACCTCCGCACAGTGCACTGGTCTTGTTTGCTGCGTCCTATTCGACAAACATAGTCCCCTCAATTGAGGCAATCCAGGAAATGGCACACCTGCAGCTGCTTCATGATCTCATGGTTGACAGGCATCTTGCCATCCAGTGTGTACTCCAGGTATTGCCGAATCTCTTGCAGTCTAGAGGACAGACCCCTAACGCCCTGGACTTTGGCACTGACATCTGTCGCCAGGGTGCTGATCGTCGCGTCCTTCACGTCTCGCAGTAGGTGTTCCACACCAATCTCCTCAGCCTCTGTTTGGCCAACTTGGGTCGGAATGTTGACGAACACCTTTTTGCTCTTCTCAGTGCCATCCTGGAAGCCAGTTTCATTTTACTTCAGCACTCCATTCAATCAAGAAGCAACATTACACCAAACAAGATCATGTGTTGTCATACCAAATATTGCTGCTGTGTTTTTGTCTAACAACGCGTTTGGTTCCAATCACCCATAAACACAAAAAATGATTGCTTGTAGACAAATGCTAGATCTAAACGACATATCTGTGGATATTGTACTTCAGGGAATCATAGTTTAGGAGAGTCTCCACAAATGATCAACTCATGTACTAGAAGCGGTTTCGCACCATGCCAGCGCAGCTCAGCTCCCAACGTGCTCCCACGGCTAGCACCTTGTGTGCTCTGATGACGTTGGGATTGGGGTGTTTCTGCTGGACATTGTGAGGCCATAAGTAGGCCATTGAATCCTGAAGCTCTCTGACAATATGACTTCAGTAGACACATGAATTGACCAATGTGTCCAATTTTCATGTTTTCTCTAATTACATTAAATACAAATTACATGAATTACATTAATTGCATTAATTCGTTCATTTAGTGACTGCCATGTCTTTAGCAGGTCTGCTTGTTGCTGTGTTTAGATACGCACACGCTGCCCAGCACCACACGTGCGCAGCTCATGCATCGATTTGCTTCGTGCTCTTCCTCCTGCAGTTGAGGATCTCAGTGGGATGAAGAAGACTCACTATATCTTGAGAACAGGTGAATCCACCATAACATGCATTTCTTCTTTGCTGAAAAGGCAATATTCATAAAATCAAGGCATGTTGGCAAATTGGTTACAGATGGAAATACTGCTTCCCATTATCATGCCCATTGTTGAACTTGCATGTCATCTGATCAACAACAGCAGTGGTGCGTTCCATTGCAACAGTCTACAACACTCAGTGGGGCCTGCTGGATCAGAAATCGACCTCTGTGCATTAATTGTAACACGATGCTACTTTTGGGCTTTACAATGACTAGCACTTTCTTTCTTGAGGTGTGCAACAAGGTTGACATCTCCTTGTCAGGATGGTGGCTGCATCTAGACACAGCGGCAGGAAAAACAGGGATGAGGGTTGCAACATCAGTCCCCCAGCCACTTGAATCGTATTGAACATATCCTATTGAACAGAAAGGTTGCATGTCATACTTTGCGCACCATTCCTAGCAAGATTGGTGAGGCGATTCTATTTCTACAATGTCAAAAGGCTGAGGCAGAAGACTCTACGTGTGATGGTGGCAACACACAACCAAGGCCAGTGAAAGCTAGGGAAGCAAGAACAGTCCAAAATACCTCTAGAGGTTGACGCAGCACAAACAAGAGGAAATAGGCATGTGTTTTCAGGGCCACTCAACTCCCAAGATTGTTTGCCTCATACCTGCAATTGGTGGATCTAGAACCACGATTTGGACATGGAAAATAGTCTCAAACACTCTGCCTGTTGCATGAGCAATACATTTGTCTGCAGCCAGCACAGACAGACACATTTCATCGCGCTGTGCGTGCCCACGCTCACGCAATCCGATTGTACAACACAAGCAACCCCTTACTTCCTTGACCTCTTCTTTTGCATAGTAGGCAGTGATGGGCAGCCCGATCTCGTTGGGCTGCACCTCGCAGATCACCAGCACGGGGTTGTCACAGAAGCGGGATATCAGGTCATTGATGTCCAGGTCAGCCTCCCTTATCCTTGGTCCGGTGCTGTACCAGCCAACCACAGCCTCACGCGCATTCACCTTCTTGAACATCCTGAAGATGTTCTCCAAGTAGCTATGGTCCAGGAACCATATGCTTGGGTCCTTGGCATCCTCCTCAAAAGGGACTGCCCAACAAACACCCCCTGTCAGAAGCTGCGTTCATCAGCGCATACATATTCCAGCACACTATCATGTGGCATGTGTGCCGGTCTGCTTGAGCAGAAGACGATCTTGGCCACATGGTCCGCCAGAACCCTTGGCCAGCTGCGTGATTGTACAGGGCACGGTCAAACCTGCATTGGATGCTGCTGTGCCTGCATCGGCTTCACAGTGCAAAAGCCTTGTCTGCCATCCATTTTGTGACGAATGCAGTCAACCTTTTTCAGGCATGTGTCTTTGGGAACTCACAGGGGTTATGATCCAACAGGCACAAGGAGCAATTGAACTGTTTCCTCCTGCTTCAGTTGCTCTTGTCTGCTCCATTCTTAGATGCCCTCTGTCTATTGAGAACAGCCACAGGGGCGACAGGAATTCTCCCCATAGAACTTCCATGTTTGGCAACGACGAGCGTCTTTTTGGACCACTCAAAGCGTCGCCTGGTGCAGACTCGATCCCTATTGATGTCGATGTCGCAGAACGCAACCACAGTATAAGGGATGAACAGCCGAGGCTGGGCCCATCCAGCTGGTCCAAGGCAACAAGGCCAGCCGCAGGGCATAACATCTTTTATCTCGTGGCCAGCATCACGCACATGGCCGGACAAACACGAGTCAAAGCCGCCAGGAGCTGCAGCAGCCCCCAACAGCAGGCACAGCCACAACGCCCAAATTGCTACAAACCTTAATAGAAATCAAAAGACGAGGGCGAGGATCGCTATCTTGGCACCAAGAAAGCATGCCGCACACTACCCCATCCACCAACAAGAAGGTTTGCTCCACTGATTTCAGTAGGCTAGAAGCGAATTCAACCGTCCGCGAGCGCACAAGGATGAACAAGCGACACGGGTGGGTGCATCGATATCGCTGTGCACGGGGAGGCGCAGGCTGCAAGCCAGCGGGACGCCCGCGGCGGCGCCCACCTGCGAAGCTGTTGGTGATGTCGATCACGCCCCTGTGGAAGGACCCCAGCAGCACGCCCACCACGCGCTTCCTGCTGTCCTTGGCTACCCGGTTGTAGTGGTCCACCACGCTGAGCAGCACCAGCGGGTGCAGCACCACGCGCTCGGGGCTGGGCATTCCCGACGCGGCGGGCGGGGGGATGGATTGGCTGGGGCCGGGAGCTCGAGGGATCCACGGATTGAAGGAGGCAGGGGATCGGATCGGACGCGTGCGTCGATGAGGGAGATCTCGGGAAAGGAGGAGGTGGGGGGTGGGGAAGCGGTGGGTCGAGAGGCGTGGGGCGGGGGCCAACTGCGCTCAGGACAGCGTGGGGGGTCGCCTTGTGCTCAGCAACCTGGTTCCAGCGGCGGACGGCGAGCGGGCCCAGCACAAGTACAGGCGGTGGGCAGTAAAAGCAACCCAAAGAAACGAGCATTGGGACATTCAGCTCAAGAAATATTGCCAATTAAACTCAACGCTGCAATATCAACAGCCGTGTGCTGCGACAAGTTCACCAGATGTGGGTCGGCTCTGGGTTGTGTGTTGACGCGCTGTTCAAACCCAGGGACCAGACCACAGGGCAGGTGTTGAAACAGCTCCTCCTGAGAAGCCTATCTTGGGCGCTTTTCCGGCTTTGTTGCTTCGCAGCCGAAGCCCGGCGGCCTGCTCGGAGATTGATCGCGCCTGTCACCCCGCCCAGCGCCAATAACCAACGCCCAACATTTTCCGGAGTAAAAATTAACTAAAAATTACCACAGCACCGGCAAAAACTTGCGAAACACAAAATCGTCGGCCCCAGGCCCCCGCGGCAGTCCCCCCTGCCCAGCCGCGGCGACCGCCGCACGCCCCTCCCGCAATGGCCGAGCCGCAGCGCCAGGCCGGCCTCTGCGACCTGCCCGACGCCTGCCTGGAGGCCGTGCTGGCATTCCTGCCCCCGGTCGACCTCCTCTCCTTCCAGGGCGCTTGCCGCCGCTTCCGCGACGTCGGTCGCTCGCCCTCCCTCTGGATCCGCAAGCTGCGGTGCGACTACGGCCTGCGGGCGGCCCCGGAGCGCGGTTCGTCCCACCTGGAGCCCCAGAGGCTGTACCAGAGCCTGGCATGCCAGCCGCAGGCGGCGCCGCTGAGGTTCACGGGCCTGCTGACCGACGGTGGCGTGGACGAAGGCCATCCGGCCTTCTGGTGCGGGAACATGTTCGAGGTGAGGGCCGCGCCCCGAGTCCGCTCCGGAGGGGACGCCTTGATCTGATTGGAGGCTCGCCCGGCAGGAGGCCTGCGAGCTGCCAGGGCTTGATTGGGGCGGGACAGATCCTATCGAGTCGACCCGTGCCTTGGGATGGCGCACAGGGGCCATGCACCCGTTCGGTGCAGCAGCTCCGCGTTTCTGCTCCCTTTTGTCGCGAACGGGGACCTGATCTGACCGACCCCTTGCTGCCGGCGATGTTGCCCGGTAAACCGCCGCTCGGGAGCTGGAGATCGACCCGACGCGATTGATTGGTCCTCGGACTACGTGTTGTAGGGCGAACGGGCGCGGTGCTACTCCAGCGAGATGCACCGCAACCGCGACGTGCGGGTGGCGGCCGGCCTGCTGTCGGACGTCCCAGCCTCCCCCCGCCCCTTCCCCTCCCCGCTGGATCGCCCGCCCGTCCGCCAGCCCCTCCGCCAGGAGCCCACGCTGGCGACGTGGCCGGGCGGCTCAGGGCCCGCCATTTACGACCGGAGGGCGATGGAGGGTTGGGCATCATCCGATCCCAGGGCCACCGCGATCGTGCAGGCGGTGGCGGTGTCGCGGGAGGGCAGGCTGACCTGCCCGGTGCGCTGCGGCGCCGTCTTCCTTGCAAACACCTCGAACGCCATGGGGGTGGAGGAGCTGTACGGCGCCACGCGCGGCCGATGGGTGGACGCGATGGCGGGGCTGGGGTCCTGCGACGCGGTGATCGCCGCGGCCGGATCGGGGTCCCTGCCCCGCGCTGCCGAGCGGAGGGCATCGACGCACGGGGAGTGGGTGGAGTTCGACCACCCCGATGGGTATCGGCTGGGGGAATTCCGCCCCGTGGTCTGGTTCCGCTTCTTCTCGAGGGAGGAGGCCAGGCTGGCGCGGCGGGCCAGCTGGGAGGAGCGGGCGCCGGCCGAGGAGGGGCCCCCGGCTGCGGCATGCACGAGCCCGGTGCAGGGCCTGCAGACAGGCCACCCCTCCCAGACCGCCCGCCATCCGCCATGCCTTCCCGCCGAGATCCCCGACCTCTCCCCCCTGGCGTCGGCGTCCAGCGGAGGGATGTCCTCCGACGCCAGCGGCGACCCGCCCGCCGCCTCCCGGCCCCTTGATGGCCCCAGCAACGAGCGGAATCGGGATGCCGGCCCCAGCGCCGGGGAGGCGTGGGCGGGCAGGGCCGTGTTCGCCGCATCGCCGCGTGGAGCGGCGGAGCCGTCCGGCGCCAGCACCTCCGGGCATTCGCAGGCCATTGATCGGGATCAGGCGGCGGTGCTCCCACCCGGCCTGGATGGACTGGACGAGGATTTGTTCCCGGATGCCATCGCCTCGCTCGTGGGGTTTGGGGGGGGGTCGGCGGTGGTGGAGCGGGCGGGGGGGGGGGCCGGGGCTGGGCCGTCGGCGGCCGCTCAGGACGACGACGTGGGGAGCGCGACCGCCAGCGACGGCGCCAGCGCGCCCAGCGCGATAACACTCTGGCCGGGCCACGAGGCGGACATGGGCAGCGACAGCGACGATGACTGGAACGTCGATCTGGATGTGGAAGACGACCCGTTCGCACTGCTCTGGGGCCCCCAGGTGGGGGCGCGGCCTGAAGATTTTGGTCGTGTGTGTGTCGCCGCATTTTTTGGTCGCTCTATTCTTTTTGTGGTTGCTGTAACTATGGCCAGTCCCAGGCTGCTGATCATCACAGCCAACCGCAGATAATTCTTAGCATTCGAAAAATTCGCACAAAATGAGCCCATGACTACCTGACAGCGCGGTGTTTTACTCAGGCATTGTCCCAGTCCGGCGATGCTGTTCTTACCATTCACTTGTATCAATTGAGCATTTTTTATCAACCACATACTCTCAGTCGCACAATTGGGCTCTGCTTTTTGTAGTTGCTCTTGAAGAATGCCATGCAAGCCGTTGATAACATGTCAATATGCACCTCCCAGCTGCCTTTCTTGCGCAAGCTACGACGCCTGTGGCTCCCACATTGCTTGGAATTAGCCGTCCTGGCAGACTTGTCACCACTACATCCATATTGTTTAGTCATGCACAGCTTCATTTTCTCTACCATTACGTAAATATGATTCATTATGCGTGAACATTCAAATACAATTTGAATTCAGTTCGTGTACCTGGTTGCAAGGGCAGCACTTCATTAACTGCGAAATGGTGTGCTGGGCAGAATTAGACAGCACTTCTTGACACACACAGCACCTAATTCCCATGATGCACCTGCATTATTTGCTGACGTAATGCTGGACTAAATCCGCAGGTGTTCTTGGGGCCGCCAGACGAGGGGACTGGCACGGTTGGTCGCTGCAAGCTGTCCATCAAGCTGGCCAAACCGGCGGCAGGCAACCTCATGTGTGTGCTGCTCATAGATTCCGAAAACCTCATGCACGAGTACCTGGACCACCACCCGGCGCCAAACATTGACGTCAAATATGTGCATGTCAAAGGCTTGAAGGCCGCCATCCCAGGGGATGTCAGATTGCTGGCATGATGCACTGGCTGCATGTGGCAGTCACCTTTCAGTTCTGCACTTGTGTTCCAAAACGAGAGCGCTGGGAGCGATGTATGAGGCACAATTTCAACCTATTCAGGGCGAAGTTTGGAGAGTGCGGTGGTCTGCGTTTTGTTCTTTAGAGGCGACTTGTCAAGGTTGCTTGTTCAATTCTAGTGGCAAGCAATGTTTTAGGGGTGTTGTGGGGGTATGGCCAGCTGGCCTCTGCGAAGCCACTGGAAGAACATTCCACGGCCTTTGAAGTGGGAGGCAGCGCTGTGCCAAATCTGACGGATGTAATCAAAGAACAGTGTCACAACCCGTGGCTGATGCGAAGGCAATACCACCGGAGCGATGCCGCCCATCGAGAAGCGCACACCTTGGGCCACTATTAAATGGTGTGTGGCGGGCATCCAGCATCCAGAGTTGAAGTACATTAACGCAGTGCCTTGAATGCATAATCTGCATGCAGACACTCACAGTGTACCTGAAGCACGTTTCACATGGACAAACAGTATCCACATGACCGTCTTCGCGCAGATCTGCCCAGTGAGTCGCTGCTCATCGCAGCATCAACGCCTCGTTCATAATGTGACTACTTCAAATGGTTTGACGTAATGTGGAAACACATGGATGAGCCACTTCAGCGGGGAAGGTCACGCCGCCGGTCCTTTCGCAGACAGGGGCACAAACATACAATTGGGAGCATCAATTTGTGCTTTGAGCTTGCGTTCATTGCCCGACATCGCCAGCTTGGATGATAGCGCTGGCATTGTCAGCATGCTCTGCTGAATGAACCTCAGACCAAGTTATGATCTTTGTTTTACAAAATTTGACTACGCTTGGTTCGTAATGAGCGACAGCCGTACAGCTGTCCACCAACTTAGTTGCCAACTGAAGTTTCAATTACTAAGAGTAATGAGCCTTGCCCATTGTTTTAATTAAACGGGGGTTGTATATGGCAGCTGTTGCGTCGGCGTGTTCTGCCAGGGCTGGAGAACAACGAGCGTGCAGAGACTCCTGGATGAACCTCAAACCAAGCCATGATCTTCCTTCTACAGGCTTTGGAAATGCTTTGTCCGTGATGAACAACAGCCGTACAGCTCTCTACCATTCGTGGTCAATCTCCCTCAGCCGTCGCACAGTCGCCCACAAACACTCGATGGAAAACGTCAACGACATTTGAGAGATTTGAACGCCAAAATATTCCCATTCTGTAGACGAGCTGTTCGAGTCGACAGGAACAACAGAAACCCTTGGCTGTTCCCTCGGCAGAAGACCAGAATGACGCCCCAGATGCACCTTCCGGCTCGGTTCTTGAATGACACACTCCAGGATTTGCAGCTCAAGCGCTCCTCCCATCTGCCCTTGTCGCCAAATGGCGGGTGTCACTGCAACACTGCACACGATGGGCGCTGTCCTCTCCCTCTTTGAACTCTCGACCAGTCTCCAAACCCCCAAATGGGCCCTTGCACCTGAAGACGAACTACTCGGGTCATTCCAAGCAGCAGAAACTCCTGTCCCTCCCCTCGGTGGACGATCAGCAAGACGCTCGGAATTCGCCTTCCAGGATACGCGCCGCCGAAGCCCATGCTCGAAACTCTACAGCTGAAACGTTCTTGCAGCGGGCTACCTAACCGCTGTCGACAAAACAGCGCTGCAGACATCCGCCACCCTCCCCATCGGCGCACCCAATGGCCCGTCTCCGCCGCGATGAACTGCTCGACAGGCCTGAGCCCTCAGGTATCTCATGAACAACGGACAATCAGAAGCTCGGGATACGTCTGTATGGTTTCAGACCCACGAGAACAACATCGCAGCCCTGGAAACTAAACCCTTCTCGCAGCTCGCTACCTCGTCGAATCGCTCACGCCGTCGCAGAAACGCAGCGTACAACGACAGGCGCATAGCTATTCTCTTCAAGGTACTGGACCTCATCCCCTTCCTGCCCCCACTTCCCGAACGGTCTCTCGCAGCCAAGACGAGCTGTTTGACGCATCTGCGACTTCAAAAACGCCTGGTTCTCTCCTCAATGGCCGACCAGCAGACACGTCTGTGTTGTCGGTTCTTGAAGGGCAGAGCAAAGAGCCTGCCGTCCCAGCGGTCCTCACAGCTCGGCATCCTGCGTAGCACATTCCACCGTCAGTGTGGAGGAGGCATCGGCACCACAGTAGCCGCACTAGTTCACATGCTGCAGCGTATCTACATAAACCAGGAAAGGAGACACTTCTGATTGAAGTCTGGGAAAGTAAAGTTCCATGCATTTCAATCCGTTCCAAAATCCGCAGACGTCTTGAAATGCTGTTGGGAGCGCATTTGGCTAGTGGAGACGCAAAACTGTGGAGCCTCGGCGACGGCGCGGGCGGGTGCTCCAACTAATAGGTTGGGTGGCACCGACAGATGCCATTCAACGACGCAATGGTGCAACATCTGGATTTAGTTGCGCAAGAGCATTTCACAGTGACCAGACTGGACTCTTAAACACGCCTGGCTTCCATGGAGGTTCAGAAGGGCACTGCGGAGACAAAACCAGGGCCACATTACTCACCCGCAGCTGGCGCCTTCACCTTCCCCCATCCCCTGCTTCCTCGTCGAAGTAGGTCCCATCCCTTCCCCGTTCGCCGTGGGTGGCAGTGCCACTTCCGTGATCTCCGGACACCTCGTAGTACTGGTCATCCCCAACTGGCACCCCCTGTGGGGCAGGCACCTCGTAGTACTGGTCATCCGTCCCGTGTTTGGCGCCGTGGTGATCGGCGTAGCCTCCGGGCGCCCCCGGCTGTCCCGGCGTGCCAGGCGTCCCCGGTTGCCCCGGAGTCCCGGGTCTGCCCGGCTGGCCATCGGCGCCATCCCTGCCCGCCGTGCCGTCCCTGCCGTCCCGGCCTGGAGTGCCGTCCACCCCGTGCCAGCCGTCCTTGCCGTCTTCGCCCGGGATGCCCCGGGCGCCGGGGCGGCCAGCGTCGCCGATGAGGCCCAGGGGCCCGACGGGTCCGGGGTCGCCGGGAGCGCCCTGGACGCCAGGCGCGCCGTCAGCTCCAGGCTGTCCGTCGGCGCCGTCCCTGCCAGGGTAGCCCAGCTGTCCGGGATTTCCGGGCGCTCCCGGCTGCCCTGCGCCGCCGGGAGCCCCCGCCGGACCCCTGGCACCGCGCTCTCCCATGGCGCCGGGAATGCCCATGTTGCCTGGCGTGCCATCACGTCCAGCCGCTCCCGCTTCGCCCCTCGCTCCAGGCTGGCCGGGAACACCGTCCTGTCCGCGTGGTCCCTGGGGCCCCGGCTGGCCGCTGTGTCCTGGAGTGCCGGGGTCGCCTTTATCGCCCTTCGCTCCCTGGGTTCCGGGAGTGCCGGGTGTGCCGGGTCGTCCATCGGGGCCGGGAGGCGCTTCCACTTGAACTGGAGCGGATGCCGGTGCATCTGAGGCACGACACACAGGACATCGGTCAGGAACGTCCATGGCCAGTAGACACACCCGTTCCTGCCAAGAGAAAGAAAGGGAACTACACGCGTGTGCGGTGCCGAGAGAAGCAGATTGACCTCAACGCCGAAGAAAGCAGTCCAGACAGAAACTGCAGCTCCGCCACCGGCTCACGCAACGCCTGCTCCATGAACCCTCGAAATATTGGCCAGTCCCGCGACACTGGCACAAGTGGATGGCTGGGAATCCTGCCAAGGAGGCTGATGGGAGACCGATGGAGACTGCGGGCCCACTCACCGCATATGTCAAGTTCGCCTTCGAGCAGCGCCTTCACTTTGGCCACAGCGGACTCGTGCGCCTTGACCTTCCAATAGCCGGTGTCCTCAGTCACCTCCATGCACAGGTCCTTGGCGGTGTAGCAGTCCAGCCTGATGTGGTCGTACCAGCCGCAGATGTGCTCCACATAGGCGCAGCACTCCTTGCTCTCCACCTCGGCGCACACGCACTTGTCCACCTCCAGGTACAGCAGCTTGGGCAGTGGGGGCGCCTGGCTGTAGCCTTTCTTGGGGTGGCCGTTGCCCTTGCTCGCATCGCCATGGGACACCACATGCGTCTTGTCATCGTGGGCGGTGGTCACGGTTTCGCGGTACCCCTTGCCGTGCACCGCGTGGTAGGTCTTGCTCGCGGCGCGGCCGTAGCCCTTGCTGTGGACGTAGCGCGTTGAGCTCCTGCTTCACCACAGCCTGCCGTCAGCTGGCAGCATGGCCAGTCACGCCAGTGGGACCACTACAAGGAGGGACG